CCCCAAAACCCCAAAACCCCAAAACCCCAAAACCCCATAAAATTTAGTCCAAGTTGAAGTTTATGAGGCTTATAGTGCAAAAATATTGAGAGATAGATCATGTACTTCATCCATTGCTAGTGAATGCCTCATTCTCTTTCGCTTCTTCTTAAAGCTACAGAAGGCCAGTCTGTGACTTATATTGGCTTTCAAGTCTCAGTTACCAGGGAACATAGTAATTTCATCATTAAGATTTACTTCGAAGGAGAGAGTGAAACTGTGGTCCTTCCGTTATGAGTCTAGCTTCAGATTGAGTTTGCAAGGTCGTCAGTGTAGTACAGGGGAAGACAGCTTGGCCTCGTTTCATTTTTTGAGAATTATTGAAGTACTTCTTTTGAAGTAACTTCCTGACCTTAGAACATGAGGTTCCTTTCCTGGCTGCCCACTTAATCTTATCCCTCCTAGTGGAGGGCTGTGGAAAATTATTCGAACCATAATCGTTATGAGGTGTCTTTTTCGGGATCTTGTACATGCTATTGTCTAGAACAGAGGCTTTTGTGGTTCATCTTCTGTAGCCAGATTTTCTTTCGGCTATTCCATGTTAGGATAGGATAAAAATTACTTTGGAGCCTGCTCAAGGAGATCTTTTACGAAGTTCTAGAGAGTTATGCTGTATCTTACCTTTCTTTGGAGTCATCTTAGTACTTTTGTTGTATAATTGTTGATGAAAAGTCTAGAAATTACCTCAAATATTTCCTTAGAATTGGATAGGTTTGGAGTGCTCCGCTCGTTGACTATTCTACTTTTTGAATTCTTATGAAGGGACTTCTTAGAATTTGAAGAAATTTTGAACTTTAATTTGTTCTAAAGCTCATATTTCTAATGTACCCTTTCTCTTATCTGAAAGTTGAGGTTCCTTCTGTTGATGGCTCTCTTGCTGAGACCAATCTAGATATCTAAGAAAGTGTATTGTACCTTAGTTTGAGGAGTTTTAATCACTCGTTTCTTAAGCCCAATGTTTTTATTTAGTATCCTTTTTAAATAAAATACTGAGAGATTTGTTCCTTCCTTTGGGAGTTTCGATTTCTTTCATGATGTTTTTAATATTCTTGATCATTTTATCATTCTTTGAGGATTGCATTACTACAAAATTAATGGAGGTTTACTGCTATTTTTACTTTTCTTTTTGACAAGTACCTGAGATAGCTTAGCAATCTCCTTTTCTGCTTTTTTCTTAAGTTCATTTTGAAGATCCTTGATATTAGATTGGAGGAACTTATTCAAATAATTATTTATTCCCAAGAATTAGATTTGATAGCTTGCCTCATGATTTACTATGAAATAAGAGATGAACATTTTTGAATTATTTGATGATAAATATTTTGAATCTAGAGATTTGAAGCAGCTATAAGAAATATAAGTGTCTCCAATGCTATAAACAAAACCTATCAGTATTTCAACCATCAGTAGGCTTACTTCTGATCGCTTCCTCTTCTTGTGCCAAGCTGATAATCAAGCTAAAACTATTATCTCAATCTATTAACTTTGGAGTCCTTGTCAAAATCCATATACATAAAAATAATACAAATTGGAGACACTAACTGGAAATACATAATAATACAAAATTGGCTTTGCAAAATATTCTCAAAATCCCTAAATTTGAGCTCAAATCTCTTATAATCCCGCAACAAGCCCATTACGTTATACTTCCTCCTAACTCTCTCATCATTATACGTGCCTATCATAAACTCAATTTTATTCCTGAGCTCTGTCTCTGGAAGAATGCAGTAATCCAGCCTAGAAATATTCAACCAGGTTCAAAATTCATAAAAATCTTAATAAAAATTTACCTGAGTTCTGCCTCTGAAATGAAGCATTGAAGACAGTGAGAGAAGGAGGCGGCAGATAGAGAAATTGAGAAATTTTAAACCAAAAATTAGAAAGTGAATTTATGGTGTAAATAGGACAATGGCTTTGGGATTTTATGAAAATGTGTAAGAGCTGAAGAGGATTTTTACTAGATTTGGTCATTTTGAGTAGTGTTATGGGGGAATAAATGTGTTTGTTGAGAATTTTAGTGCAGGTTCAGAAGAAGAGCGTAGTGTTAAGGATTTAGAGAAGGTATAATAATTTAATGGCAGCAATTGATAAAGGGGATTAGTTATTTGGTGTGCAATCCAATAGGGGAGTTTAGTGGGCCAACCTGAGAGCCTAATGGAGTCTTTGCCATCTTTGGTACGAAGGAATTCATAAAATCTTTGCATTTTCTTATAAACAGTAATTTAAAAGTTCTTCACTTAAAGGAACTTTGTATGACTTTCTATAGAAGATAATTAAATAAGAATCGAGAGATTACATCTTGTTGATAGGATCAGGTGAGGATCGAGTTTCGCTAATTCTTGGTCTAAAGTTTGTATGTAGAGCGTCTGTCATTTTCTTATTCAAAACTCTTATAGCTGAAATATTTAATAGAGTAGTACCAGCATTCATCTCTTCAATATTTAAACCTCATGAGGGTTTTGGGGTTTTGGGGTTTTGGGGTTTTGGGG